ACCCCCCACCCCACCACAGTCACTGTCCATCAGTGTAGTAAGATGCCACAGAGTCACTACTTGTCTTCTCTGTGTTGCAGTATCTTCCCCGTGATCCCCCGTACACCATGTGTGCCAGTCATAATGCCCCTTAATTCCCTTCTCCCACTCCCCACCCCACCTTTGGTAGCTGCTAGTCACTTCTTGGAGTCTGTGAGTCTGCTGCTGTTTTGTTCCTTCAGTTTTGCTTTCTTGTTAATACTCCACAAATGAGTGAAATCATTTGGTATTTGTCTTTCTCCACTTGGCTTATTTCACTGAGCGTAATACCCTCCAGCTCCATCTATGTTGTTGCAAATGGTAGGATTTCTTTTCTTCTTATGGCTGAATAATATTCCATTGTGTATATATACACATCTTCTTTATCCATTCATCTACTGATGGACACTTAGGTTGCTTCCACATCTTGGCTATTGTAAATGGTGCTGCGGTAAACATAGGGGTGCATATGTCTTTTTGATTTGGGGATCTTGTTTTCTTTGGGTAAATTCCTAGGAGTGGGATTCCCGGGTCAAATGGTATTTCTAATTTTAGTTTTTTGAGGAACCTCCATACTGCTTTCCACAATGGTTGAACTAATTTACATTCCCACCAGCAGTGTAGGAGGGTTCCCCTTTCTCCACATCCTTGCCAGCATTTGTTGTGCCATCCTTACTAGTGTGAGGTGATGTCTCATTGTGTTTTTCTTTTTAATTTCCCTGATAATTAGTGATGTGGAGCATCTTTTCATGTGCCTGTTGGCCATCTGAATTTCTTCTTTGAAGGAGTATCTGTTCATATCCTCCACCCATTTTTTAATCGGATTATTTGCTTTTTGGGTGTTGAGGCATATGAGCTCTTTATATAGATTGGGTATTAACCCCTTGTTGGTCAGATACGTCATTTACGAATATATTCTCCCATGCTGTAGGAATCCATTTTGTTTTGGTGTCCTTTGCTGTATAGAAGCTTTTTAGTTTGATGTAGTCCCATTTGTTCATTTTTGCTTTTGTTTCCCTTGCCCGAGGAGATGTGTTCAGAAAAAAGTTGCTCATGTTTATATTCAAGAGATTTTGCCTATGTTTTTTTTCTAAGAATTTTATGGTTTCATGACTTACATTCAGGTCTTTGATCCATTTTGAGTTTTACTTTTTTTATATAACCTTATAAAAGATGATTGAGTGTGATAAAATTGGGAACTAAGAGATAATAACCATAAATCTTAATTGACAGATAATTTGGTTTTATTTCATTTACTTAAGAAAAAAGATTATCATGTATTATGAACATGCCTTGAATTAGATTGCACTAGAGGTTTCAGAACCAATGTAAAATTGGTGAGTGAGCCTCTTTTAAGAAATACATGACTCTATTGCATAAGGACTTTATGTTGCCTTTAAACCATGAGTGGTGATGGTAGGTAGTGAATTTACAGTGTTCTCATTAGACAGTCTTAGTGACTCCGTAGCCCCATCATTAAACAGTGGTGTTTATGTTTGAGATGACAAGCTCTGGGGAAAGAGGCCAGTCTGGGATCACAAGATCAGCAAATGTAAATAGTTCAGGTGATGATTAAGCCTGAGGCATTAGTCTGATTGACACACACTAAGAAGCTCAGTCAGTTAAACGTGCAAACAGCTAACAGTGCAATTAGTATCAATGCTCTCACCTTAAATTTAGCCTTGTAAACTCTTCTTGACATATCCCAAGTGCTGCAGGGTGAGTAGAACTGCTACCTTCTACTCTTGGTGGTTTTAAGAATTTAAGAGTTGGTGGGTCCAGAGTGTGGCAAAGCTTTGACTAAGTTCACATAGGTGAAGCTTGCAGTCAGTACTGGAATTGAGAGTTAGGAAGAAGACTCATGTTCAGAAATTCCCTTCATAGCCTAGCTTGGTATAACTTTAATGTTCAGTATATGTTTTACAACTTAAATATTACTTTTTAGTTAGGTCATACATACATATTTTATTTAAAAAAATTTATTAGGTCTCCAGAACTTATGCATCTTATAAGTGAAAGTATATGTTCTTTGACCAATATCTCCCCATTTCCTCTATCCCCCACCCCTTGGTAACCATGATTCTGCTGTTTCTATGAATTCAGAATTTTTAGATTCTAATATAAATGATATAATACAGTATCTGTCTTTTTCTGCCTCACATATTTAATTAGCAGTGGCCCAAGGTATATGGTATATTCGTGTTATCACAAATGGCAGGATTTCCTTCTTTGTCATGGCTGAATAATATTCCAGTGTGTGTGTGTGTGTGTGTGTGTGTGTGTGTGTGTGTACACATGCACCACATCTTCCTTATGCATTCATCTGTTGACTGACATTTAAGTTGTTTCTGTATTTCCATGTCTTGGCTGTTCTGAGTCATGTTGCAGTGAACATGGAAGTGCAGATGGCTCTTCGAGATCTTGTTTTCCTTTCCTTTGGATATATGTTTTGATATGTTTGGGTTTTCAAGAAAGAAACAGTTTAGCTTGGGTTGTGTTATGTTAAAAGGTTCTAATATAAAGGATAAGTAGGAGGAAAATATTAGGAAGAATCATATGGCTGTTTACTTAGGTTCAAAATGATCTAATATTGGCAAATTTCATATGGTTTAGTTCACTCGAAAAAGGAGAGGAGTGAAGGAAAACTGAAGGGGGACGTTAGGTGTGCTTGATAATCCAGAGAGTACTGATGGTTTTGTTTGTTTTTGGACAACTATATAAATTCTGAGTGGGAAGAAACCTTAGCAATTATCTGCTACAACTTCTGCATTTTATAGACAAGGTTACTCTGTATGCATCTTAAGAGGAGACTCAAGTCAAATAATCCATATACTGGAAATTTGAAAATTTGGTGGAGAAAATAATACAGAAAAGTAAAAAAGAAAAAGAAAAAAAAAGGATTCTTTTCAGAACGTGCTATAAGAAAGGAAACTTTAAGACAGAATTAAAAAAATCCTAGTTTTAAGAGTTCAGAGCCAAGTGGTGGTGCCCAAACTTTGCTGCATATTAGAGTGACTAGTACATATGTTTCTGGGCAGCTGTGTCTGGAGAGGGAAGGGTTCTTGACTCTGGTCGAGAAAGCGTTCTTGAATAGGTTGTACAGTGTAGGTAAGGAAAGAATTCATTAAAGCGAGAGTAGCAGTGAATGGCAGCGGCCGTTCAGGCAGTAGAGAGCAAGGGAGACCAGAGAGAGGAAAGGGAAGTTCACTGAACTCCTGTTTGGCATAGCACACATCCCTTGGCAACTCCTGGCATCCAGTGTCCGCTTGAATCTGTACGGTGTGGGAACTAAGCCTCTACCACCCCAGGATTTGGGGGAGCTGCGGAGCACTGGATGGAATGAGATTATGTTCTTGAGAACTTCCCAAAGCAAAGAAAGGAGATTTTGGGATAGGTCACGAAAGTGCATGCTTGTATAGCTGCAGTGCTGTCCAGGTCACCCAGGTGACAGGAACTTGGAACCCAAATTAGAGATCTTAGTAGCTCTTCCCTACTTGTCTGAAGTAGGACAGAGAGAGTGAAGACTTGTGTTTGTCTAGAAAATTGAATGAAATACTGAAGTAACAAAGATGCTTACTACTGGGAAAAGGGGTCTCTTACTAACCTCC